AGGCAGCTTGCAGTGTGTGACTAACTCCACCAACTGCTCCATCAGCATCCACCCCCACTCCTCACAAGCTGCAGCTAGTGATAGGGCCTCTCTCCCTTATCATTGTGATCCTGCCCATTTCTACCACATCTTTTCTCTGCCCTTTACTCGTGCTCCAAACTGTGTTCCTCTGGACCCAGAAACCTCAGGCTCACTTTCACTTACTGCCCATCATGTGCCTGAAGAAGTGTGCTTGCTATGTGGGACTCTCCCTTATACCCTTTTCCCTAATTTGCATCGTGGCCAATGCCCTCCTACTGGTTCCTGATGGGAAGACCTGGAGCACTGACCAACTGCCGCAGTCTGGCTGGGCACAAATCACGAGCCACTGAAGCAGGAATAAACTTTATTTTTAAACTGCAGGAAAACACTTCACACAGCTCCCGGGGAATCCTCCTGAACGCCAGGAGGCTTGTCCAGGAACCCCCAGCCGGAAATATCTCTCCCGGAAATCCCTCCTCCTGCACTTCCCCAACCAATGGGAACTCTCGGGGAATCCCCGGAAATCCCCACGAGAACTCCAAAATAGTGCGAGAACTCAAAAGTTGCGGCAGAGGCGGATAGTAATGCCTCGCCTGTCAATCAATACTGTTGGCAAAATGCCAGGGGCCATACAGACTCAGCCGTGGCTCTCAGCAACCAACACAGCGTGCATGTCAATGTTGTATATTAATCAACTTTAGCTTTTAAAGACAAATCTAGACTCGGTAATGTAGTGTAATACCCTAAAATAGAAGTTGTTTGGCCAAAGTTGTACAAACCCTAATTTTCTAAAGAATAAAACTTAAGGGGCTGGGAATATAACTCAGTTGGCAAAGTGCTTGTTTCGCATGCACAAGTCCCTGGGTTCAATCCCCAGCACCACAAATAAATAAAGAAATAAAGAATAAAACTAGACATAAGAGATTGTCTTGATACATAAGAAATTCTTGTTACTTCAACCATAGAGGATTAAACTTTGGTTTATATCAGCACTTTAAAATTTGACATTGGGGGAAAAAAAGATTTTCTGGTCTTTTTCCTGCCACAGGAGGGAAATACAGGAGAAAATGTGTCTTTTCAGAGTCTAGAAAAAGTAGTCTAATTTTTTAAATGACAGTAAAGCTAAGAGAGCTCTATCTTGAGAATCTCCCAGTTTCACGATCTGGTCACATTATCTCCTCCTTCAGGGAAACTTGGTTGCTCTTATCAATATTATTAGCGGCCTGCATTTCTCCTTCAGTGAACAGGTAGTGTGTCACATATAACTAAAAAGAACAAATTTTTTAAATTTTAAAAAAATAAAAGGTTCCAAGGACCAAGGAGTGCTGGGTGTGGTAGTGCAAATCCATAATCCCAGCAGCTCAGGAAGCTGAGGCAGGAGGAGGATCACAAGTTCAAAGCCAGGCTCAGCAACTTAGCCCTAAGCAACTCAGTGAGACCCTGTCTCTAAAATAAATAAATATATATATACCAAAAAAGTGGGGGGGTGGCTGGGGATGTGGTTCAGTGATTAAATGCCCCTGGGTTCAATCACTAGTACAAAAAAAAAAAAAGATTCCAAGAAGTGATCAGGCATGGCTGGATATGCAGATTCAAATGATGTCGTTACACCTCACTCCATCTCTCAGGGTTCTTTCCTCTGGATTGACTTCCTGCTCAAACAGGCAGGCCCTGCCTCATGGTGTAAACAAGCCACCAGCAATCTTAGCACTTCAACAAAAAAAAATGAATTTTTAAAATGGATTCTTCATGGAACAGGCTTGGATTGTACAGCAGTCACTGAGTCAAACATTGATGCCAGATAATGGAATATTCTAACAAATCAGGCCTCATTCTCAAGTCTACCCTGAGAAACAGGTATTAGTCTCAAAAGGAGAAGAAATCAATAAACAAATATTAAGAAAATGAAATGAGGGCTGGGGTTGTAGCTCAGTGGTAGAGTGGCTTGCTTAACACACATGAGGCACTGGGTTCAATCCTCAGCTCCAAATAAAAATAAATTTTAAAAAATAAAGGTATTGTGTCTATCTACAGAAAAAAAATTAAAAAAAGAAAAAGAATATGAAATGATACTAGGCACGGTGGTACATGTCTATAATATCCACAGCTCGGAATGCTGAGGCAGGAGGACCACAAGTTTAAAGCCAGCCTCAGCCCTTAGTGAGGTCCTAAGCAATTCATTGAGACCCTGTCTCTAAATAAAATACAAAATATCTAGGAAGTGGCTCAGTATTTAAGTGTCCCTGGATTCAATCCCTGGAGAGAGAGAGAGAGAGAGAGATATTACCATATGTATATTTCATATGTGTGTGTGTGTGTGTGTGTGTGTATGAAATAAAAACAACTGAAGCCTATCATCCTTTTCATTTCTTTCTAGGAGGGACACTGTGTGACAGATGGAAATCATGAGGCCACAATACACTTTCTTGTGCTGTCTAGTTTACAAAATACTCCCCTTGTCCTAAGGAACCCTCACAACCAGCTCAGGAGGCAAGTGGTGTCACTCTACCCCTTATAAAGATGAGGGAATTGAGACTTACAGGCATGAAATGGATTGGTTAAGTCTTCAAACAGGGAAGGAACCAAAGAGAGACTACAGAGAGGTGTGTGCAGAAAAAGAGAAAGTAGACACTGACACCAGGCAGCTTGCAGTGTGTGACTAGCTCCCCCACCTGTTCCATCACCACCTCCTCCCTTTCCCCTCACAAGCTGCAGCTGGTGATAAGGGCCTCTCTCCCTTATCATTCTGACTCTCTCAGTTTCTACCACCTCTTTCTCCAGCCTGTTTACTTCTGGATCCTAGAACCTCCGGCTCACTTTCACTCCCTGCCTTGCCATGGATCTGAAGAAGTGTACCCGCTATGTGGGGCTCTCCCTTATATCTCTTTCCCTAGTCTGCATCGTGGCAAATTCCCTCCTACTGGTGCCTGATGGGAAGACCTGGAGCAGTGACCAACTCAGCTTGCATGTCTTGCTCCTGCCTGGCTTCATCGGCGGGGGATTGATGGTGAGGAGTCTAGAGCACAGGCCAGTGATCAGGGGTGTGGGCACAACCATCAGGGGTTCTGAATGGGAAGGGAGGAGAGAGGGAAAAGGAGGGAGTTCCAGATGGGACGGTAAGTGCTGGTGAAATCTACCCAGCAGAGCCCAACCCTCTCCCTACACACTCAGCACTCTGTAGACAGCTCTGGAAGAGCCCCCAAGGACCTGAGATAAATGTCTAAGGGAAGGGAAAGTCAGGGAGGGGAGGCTCAAGTCTCTAAAGAGCTTTGCTTCTGGGTCAAAGCATGTCCTATCTGCTCGGCCCCACCACCCTCACAGCTGAGCAGATGTTGGGGACCCCTCACTACAAAGGTCTAAGCAGAAGGAGCAGCTGGTTGTGTGGAAGGTTATCAGGGCAGGGCAATAGGCATTGGGGGGTGCAGCAAAAATGTCTGGAGCCAGGCAGTGATGTCACCCATCAGTCACTCTACCTCTCAGCTCAATGTTGTCCCTCCCTCCTCCTCATCCTCTGACTCTCAGCCCACATTCTGGATGCCCACTCTGTGCTGGGTGCTAAGGATCAACTCATAAGCAGGTCAGTCAGGCAGAGAAATTGCCCCCAAGGCTTCCTGGAGATGAGGATCTGCTAGGAGAAGTGGAGGAAGAGGAGTCACAGATTTCCTGGACCTCCTCCTCTCTTTCCCCATTTAGGGGAAGTAGTATTTGTATTGGGCAAAAATGAAAGATCTACCCAGCAGAGTTTCCCTCTTTTCAGGACAGATGACAGATAACATTCTCTAGAAGAGGTCTCACCTTGTCCCTTTTCTGAATCACACCTCTATTAGCTAAGCAAGGATACTTCTCCTTAACCTAGCAACTCTCTCTTACCTTCTGAAGTCCCTTCTACTTCCCATCCCTTGCATGGATTCATAGTGTTGGACTATTCTCCATCTCTCAGATCTCAGCTCTCTCTGAGATGTCACACTCCCCCAGGCCTACACACTCACCCAGTGTCACCTCATGCCCCTTCTCCAGCCTAAACTACCTCACACTCCTCCACCCAGTCTACTAGTCTTTTTCAGGGGTGATCTCCAAGGCTGTGCTCCCAACATTCTCACTCACAACTGTCTTCCTCCCCCTCTACACCTGGTACTTCTCAGGAAGTACCACTTGACACCACAGAGACACAGACAAGGTCCCTGCTCCCCTTAAATCTTGGGTTCCTTAGAGGGGGGGCAAATGGTATGAAGGAAGCAAGACCCGAAGCCCCATGAGAGCAAGGGCTGCCTGTTCTGTTGGTTGCTGTGTGCCTGGCGCCTAGAACAGTGCCTTCACCTAACAGGAGCTTGGTTAATAATCACTGAATGAAGTAAATAAATATGTAAGATGATTTCAGACAGCAGGGGGTGCCATCAAAAATAAAAATAAATAGGACTGGAGGAATAGCTCAGTGGTAGAGCACTTATCTAGCATATGTGAGACACTAGGTTTGATCCCCAGCAATACTGCAAAGAAGAGAGAGCAAGAGAGAGAAGTGGAGAGAGAGTAAGCCAGGAATGCGTGGTAGCCCATACCTGAAATTCCAGTTACTCAAAAGGAAGATTATGCCAGGTGCAGTGGCACATGCCTGTAATCCCAGCAAATTTGAGGCAAGTTTGACAACAGCCTGGGCAATAAAAAATTAAAATTAAAAATTAAAAGGGCTGGGATATGCCTTGGTGGAGAGTGTCCCTACATTGAATTGTCCACGCTACCAAAATAAATAAATAAGTGAGAGAGAGAATAAAATCATAAGTTTGATTGAGGCCAACCTGGAAAATTAGATCATATATATGTATACATATATATACACGTATGTGTGTATATATGTATATATATGCATACACACACACACATATACACACACGCACACACACACACACAGAGAGAGGACATGCACGCTGTGGATGTAACTCAGTGGCAGAGTGCCCTGGATATTCAATTCCTAGTACCTCAAAAATAAGTAAATAAATAAATAAAACTATTATAAAGAGGTAGGGCAAGAAGTTAAGGATTTTTGTTATTTCTTTTTGGTTTGGGGGTTGTGTGTGTATACGTGCATGTGCGCTGGGGATTGAACTCAGAGACTTGTGAATGCTAAGCACATGCCCTCCTAGTGAGCTACACCCCCAGCCCCAGTTCAATGAATTTTTACAAAGTGGACATACCCACATACCCAGCACCAAGATTAAAAACCAGTTCATTCATGCACCTGTAGTCCCAACTCCTCAGGAAGCAGAGGCAGGAGGATCTTGAGGCTGAGACGAGGAGTTCCATGTCAACCCTAGTAAAATAGCAAGACCCTATCTCAAAAAACAAACAAGCAAACAAAACACAGATTGTTATTACCAGAATCCCACACATGCCTCTCACCAGGTACTACCCCCACCAACAAGGGTAATGATTATTCAGTCTTCTAACACCATAAACTAGTTTGGTCTGCTCAGTACTTTATTTAAAATGAAATCATACACTATGTGCTCTTTTGTGTCCGGCTTCTTTAGCATAATATCATATTGTGAGAGCCATCCGAGTTATTTTGTGTAGCTGTAGGTTTTTATTTTTTATGCATGCCATTATGTGAATACACTTTAATTTAAACTTTTACTGTTGATGGACATTTAGTTCTCAGTTTGGGTTTATTGCAAATAAGGTCAATAACAACCCTCCTATAGGCATCGTAGGTGAGCATATGTGTTTATTTCCACTGTTACTCTTAGATAGGAGCAACACTGCTGGATCTTTTTTTTTTAATATTTATTGTTTTAGTTTTCGGTGGACACAACATCTTTGTTTGTATGTGGTGCTGAGGATTGAACCCGGGCCGCACGCATGCGAGGCGAGCGCGCTACCGCTTGAGCCACATCCCCAGCCCCACTGCTGGATCTTAAGATTTACAAATATTCAGTGCTAATACTGGCAAATAGTTTTCTGGGAGTTTTTGAATAAATTTCATTTCTATCAGCACAGAGTGAGTTGTTCCACTCCCCACTGGATTGAAGTAGATCCTCTAGCTATTGTGTGAAGAATGAATAGTAGTAGGTCAGCCATAAATGCAGAAGATGGGAGTAATGACATAGAGGGGAAATCAGTACCTTGAAATAGGCCAGTGGCCATGTGATAGAGAGAAGTGAGCAGATTCAAGCTATAAACTGTGTTGCCTCCTGAATTAATGATGACTCTTCTCTTTTCATGAAGACAATAAGACAGCAGGGAGGAAGAAGGGAAGCTTAGACCACAAAGGTAGACAAATACTTTGACCAAAAGTAAAACTCTCCGATGGTTCATTTGAAACTGGTAAATCTGGGTTGGGGATGTAACTCAGTGGTAGAGCATTTACCTAGCATGGCAATAACCTGATAACCTGGATTAGATTTCCAGCAATGCAGCGCGCGCGCGCACACACACACACACACACACACACACACACACACTAGTAAATCCAGAGGTAATTTTAGGTATCTTTGCATCCTAGAACCTCCCAGTAATTGACCTCACCAGCAAAGGGAACTAGCACTGACCCTGAATCTGCCTGGACACAGGAGCAGGAGAGCAAGAGTGCTAATGGAAGTTGGGCACAGTGGTACATGCCTGTAATCCCAGGGACTCCGGAGACTGAGGCAGGAGGATTGCAAGTTCAAAGCTAGCCTCACAAAAGCAAGGTGCTAAGCAACTCTGTGAGACCCTGATTCTCAATAAAATACAAAATAGGGCAGGGGTGTGATCAGTGGTTGAGTGCCCCCAAGTTCAATCCCTGGTACCCCACCCCACCCCCCCAAAAAAAAGTGCTAGTGGAAATTTTGTTCAACTCATCAGGTTTTCTCTGTGGTTACTGGGGATGATATAAGAGAACTAAAACTCTCAGCCCCTTTCCTGGAAAAGAACAAAACACTTTTATGGTATATACCAACAGGGAAGGAAGGATCAAAACACCTATAGAATTCCAGGGATGGGAGATGAACAAAAAAAGGTGCTATGAAGACAATGACAAGGCTGGAGGCAGAGTGAGGAGCCTCAAAGGACTTGCTAGGATTTAGAAGCTCCCCTCCCACTGGGCTTGCTGGTGCTAGCCTATAATCCCAGAGGCTCAGGAGGCTGAGGCAGGAGGATCACAAGTTGAAAGCCAGCCTCAACAACATAGGGAGGCCTTAAGCAAATCAGTGAGAGCCTATCTCTAAATAAAAATATAAAACCAGGCTGCGATGTGGCTCAGTATTTAAATGCTCTTGGGTTCAATTCCCAGTACCAAAACAAAAAACAAAAAATAAAATAACACCCCCCCACCGTCCCCAGATTGAACCCAGGAACACTTTCCCACTGAGCTACAACCCCAGCACTTTATTTTTATTTTGAGATAGGGTCTCCTTCTGCTGCTGAGTTTCTGGATACAGAAACCAGAGTGGCTGGGTTTACAGGTATGTACCAACGTACCCTGGCAAGACCAAGATTAATCTGGTGGTAGCATGTAGGAAGAAGTGTGGGGTGGCATGGGGCAAGAGCTACGGGAACTTAGTAGCGAGGCTAAGAATATCTTCCACATGGAATTTGATTAGAAATTGAATGGGGAAAGAAGGAGAAAGGACTGACAGATTCAGGAGCCACTGAAGGAAGAGTCAAAAGGACTTGAGATCTGACTGGGTGCCGAAGGATTAAAGTTTTTCCAGCCTAGGTGACGTGGTGGGTGATTATTTCCCAAAATCAAAGGGAGATGAATTTGGGAAATAGTATGAGTTCACTCTGAGACAGGCTGAATCTGAGCTAAAACCAAGACATTTGAGTGAACACATCCTTCAGGCAGTTGGGTTTAGATCTCCAGGCATGTGGAGGTGACTATTAGCAGAGGGAATTACCTGGGAGAGGATGGACTTTGTGAGAAAAGTCACCAGAAGAAAAAAGTTCAGGGGCTGGATCTTAGGAAATCCCACAACCCACATCACAGCATTTGTGAACCCACTCTACCATATCCTAGCTCACCAGACCTTCCAACACCACTACCTCTTCCCACTGCTGAAGATATTTATAGCTAAGGAGCATTTCCTCTAAAGCAGTCTTGATACCAGGCCCACCAGTTACCATTCAATCCTAAGAACAACTATGTGAAGTAGGTTTCATAAACCCTTTTTACTAAGACAAAACTGAGACCCAGAGAAACAAATCAGTTCATTGAGCATGAAGTAGTGTGGCCCAGGGCCTCCATATTCCTATTCAGAAAGGCACGTACTACGTGCCAAGAATTATGAGGAATATTTAATAGTGAACCCAACTCTCAAGGAAGCTGCCATATGGACAGAGATAAGGTAGGCACATAAATAATGATAAAGTAAGGTAGAGCCCAACCATGCTCCAGGACAGGTAGAGGTAAGGTCTTCCTACAGTCCAAAGGCCTGAGGACACCATAGGCAGCTTCCAGAGGAGGTGAATATCTTGAAGACCTAGGTTGGGGTGGAGGGTTCACACTATCACACTGACTCTGGTCCCACAGGTGCTGTGGCCGGGAATCGTAGCAGCTCTGGCAGCGGTTGCACATCCAGACTGGGTGAGATTCAAATTAAGAAGAGCTTTGCCAGGACGTGGTGGTGCACACCTGTAATCCCAGTGACTCTGGAGGTTGAGGCAAGGAGGATCTCAAATTCATCCATTTAGCAGGATCCTGTCTCATTAAAAAGAAATAAAAAGGGCTAGGGAAGTAGTTCAGACGTAGAGCACTTCTAGGTTCAATCCCCAGGGCGCCCCCACCTGCCCAAAAAGGAGAAAGCGATTGAGGATTTGATCTCTGAACCAGTCTCTCCCAGAGCCACAGCCCCCTCTACAGAGTTCCTAGCCTCCATGAATCTCTGTTGGCCCTTAGTTTTGCCTAACTCCAAGCCCCAGGTTTATAGGAAAATGTATTTTCAAGCACTCTGTTACAGGACTGCATCCCCAGCCCCAGGAATGTATTTCAACCTGGCTCCAGAGGAGCTTGGCAATATAAGGGACAGAGCTAGGCGCCGTCAGGCCACAAATGGGGACAGGGTGGCCCTATTCAGCCCACCTTCCACACCTGGTCCAGATTCCACATTCCTTCTTGTGCTCGATCTTCGGAATGCTTGGTGCCATCTACTGCCTCTCCGTGTCAGGAGTCGGCCTCAGAATTGGACCCAAATGCTTCATAAACGGCGAGTGGGACTACCACTTCCAAGAACCCGAGTAAGGCTTAGCATCTATTAGTGACCCCCAGTCTCTGCATCCCATGACTCCCATGCTCTTCCTACGTGGGTGCCACTGAGCTTCAGGAGAATTCCCTCCATGTGGGTCTAACTAACCCTTTGAAAATCCCACCCTGCCAGTGGAGGGGACTGCGGGTGGGGGTAGGGTGCCCTGTGACCTCCTTCACTCACTGGACCCTACCTGTCCACAGAGGCGCTTACTTGAAGTACAATGCTTACTGGAATTTGTGCGAGGAGCCACTCACAGTGGTGCCCTGGAATGTGACGCTGCTCTCGTTGCTGGTGGTTGCCTCCTGCCTGGAGATCGTACTGTGTGGCGTGTACCTGGTGAACGCTATTATTTTATCATTTGATTGAAAGTACATGAAAGCGAATACAAAAAGAAAAAGAAAAATGGAGGGAGTGATGCTTTTATTCAGTTCCAGAGAGGCACATCTGGGGAATGGGGTGGGGGACATCAGGTCATCATGAGGATCTGGGTTTTATAAATTTTTAGCTGAGCTAGGTCATGGGAGGTATCACATCAGGCAAGGCAGGCAGCAACCAAAGGAGGCAGATTTAAAAGAGCCGCTGAAGGAGGCTTTATTGAGATATCACTCCCCGGCGGAACTCGATCAGACCCACAGAGTGGACAGGGGAAGGGTCTGAGGAGAAACCGTGTGGAAGCTTGACCGGACTGGACTTTTATGGGGCTTACAGCAGGAAGGGAAGGGCTTGGGACAGGAAAAGGTGTTTTTAGGGTCCCTTGCCCCCCTGGAGGTGGTCAGGGGAGTTAGCTGAACTCCAGGATTGGCCAGGGGGTCCTGCTGATGAACAGGCTTTAGTCAGGAGATCTGGCTGATTGACAGGTGTTTCCGTTGGCATCTGATTGATGTTCTTTTCCCGATTGGGCTGCTTTGTTCTAAGTCGCCACCACCAACCTAACAGGAGGAGTTACTTTTGGCAGGCCCCTTTGGTGGCCAGGTAATGGGAGGAGTTTAGAGTGGGGCTGGAGGACAGGTAGGTAACCATATTCTTCATTGTCCACTTCACGTTTTGAATGTAGCCTTCCTTGCTCTGAAGCCTCACTGTCTTTCTCTTTTCCGAAGGGCTCTCTGCTCACTGAGCCTCCACTGACTGCCAAGTTATACCTGCTTTCTCCTGGACCCCTTCCCTGGCCCGCCCACTCCCTGGCTCACTGGAATAAAAGGGATGTTTTTCTTTTCCTCTACCTCTCCCCCTCCCTAACCTGGGGGAATGGGGGTGAGGGGAAGTACTTGTCTGCCGGAGGTTCTAGGAAGTGAATATCTCCCAAATTAACAAGTAAATCCTAACACACTATCTGGACTCCTGGGACACCCCCCACCCCAATCAAGGCACACTTGGAATGTAGCCCTTTGAAGAGCCTCTTAAAAGCCCTCTGTTTTCCCTGATGGGCAGTTCATAGCCTCTGGGACAGGACTCCCCTGTGTTTCTCCTTCACTAGCAAAGCAATAAAATTACTTTTACTTTTTTCTCAAAACTGTTAAATTGGCACTGGGGACAAGGACCAAGTTTTTGGTTATATTATTGGTGTCATTTGTGAGAACTGGAGGAAAAAGGAGGTGGGACAGCATGAGGTGGAGTTGTGGAGGGACCTGCTTGCTCCTGGCTAGGTCCTCACTGTAAGACTAGAAAACACTGCACCACACGACACAGATTACCAAAGAGGTCTCACTTTATTACAAATGGCTGTGTGTTTATATAGGTCTAAGAGAGGTAGCAGGGGCTGAGGTAGATAACAGGTCGCCCGTTTATTGGCAAGCTCTTCCATATGTCAGTTCCGGGGCCCAAGAAGTTAATTCTAATTGGGGCTAAGGCTTCCTACCAGCAGGGTTTGAACATTGGCGCCGGCGGGAAAGAAGAGAAGGAGGGTCGAGGGTCGTTAGACGCCATGCTGGGGTTTTTCTTTGGGGTGCGGCTGCCGTTATGTTTTCCCAACACTCACTCCCTTTCTCTTTTCTGAAGGGCTGTCTGCTCACTGAGCCTCCACTGACTGCCAGGTTATACCTGCTTTCTCCTGGACCCCTTCCCTGGCCCGCCCACTCCCTGGCTCACTGGAATAAACTGGTTTTGTTTGTTTGTTTTTTGAGAGAGAGAGAGAATTTTTATTTATTTTTTTTTTAGTTTTTGGCCGACACAACATCTTTGTTTGTATGTGGTGCTGAGAATTGAACCCGGGTCGCACGCATGCCAGGCGAGCCCACTACCACTTGAGCCACATCCCCAGCCCCTGGAATAAACTGTTTTGAGTCCCCCTTCAACCCTCCCAGCTCAGATTACTCCCTAAATCAGCAAGAGTCTTTGAGGGCCTCCTGAGCTTGGTGTTCTCCTGACCCTGTTGGAGCCCCTACACCCCATTTGTTTTGTTTTGAAAAGTTACTGAGCAAAAAAAAAAGAAAAAAGAAAAGTTACTGAGCTATTAAGTTGTGCAGGAAATACAGTAGTAAACAAGGCAGATGAGTTCTGTGCTCTCAAAGAATTGAACATTCCAGGAGTGGAAAAGGCAATTTTTAATAGAAGCAAAGGATTATTTTAGTTGATGGTTAACACGTTTTAATTTATTTATTTAATTATTGTTCTATTTTCAGTACTGGAGATTATTGAACCCAGGGCCTCACACATGCTCTGAGAGTGCACTATCACACCATTGAGCTACACACATCCCCACCCTTTTTTGTTGAATTTTCAGACAAGTTCAGCTAAATTGTCCAGGTTGGTCTCCAACTGGTGATCCTTCTACCTCAGCCTCCCAAGTGGCTGGAATTACAGGTGTTTACCAGGGCACCCAGCTGTAAAAACTTTTTAAAAACACATTGGTAATAGAATAGATATTAACTGATGGAGTTGTTGTGTTTTTGTTTATTGTTTTTGTTTTTTAATGACAGGGAAAAGTCTGAGAAAATGAGATTTGAGCTAAAATCTGAAGGATGAGCTAACCATCTAGGTACCTGGGGGATTCTAGGCAGAGAGAACAGCAATGAAGGACAAAAGGTCCTTAACAGTATTTAAAAAGTCAAATTTGGATTTAGCAAGGGGGGTTTGGAAACTATGGAAAAAGACACTTTAGCCTCTTAAACTCTAGAAGATGAAGACTTAAAGCTATTGTAGCATTGTCACCTCCTGATTTGACAGAAGTTTCTTAACCTGAAGTCACTGGTAACTTGGAAAGGAGACAACCTGTGCTTTTAATGAGGGTGGGGTATTTACAGATGTCCTCAGAAAGCCAGAGACTTCCTTCACACACACACACACACACACACACACACACACACACACACACTGTTTTTCATGACGAAGGGGCCCATAAGTTGCAGCAGCCTACCGTGGACCGCCTGAGGTCTCACTCAAATGTAGACCTGGCCCAGTACTGGGTTAGTAGGCAAACAAGGAGACACAGTTTCTCATTCCTAAAACAAGCCAAACCAAAGTCAAGATGAAAATGTTTTAATCCCCGGGGGATGGGACTAGCCTCCGGGCCAGCCGGGGAAAGGACTTCGACAATGTTAGGACAAGGTTAGGTGAGGCAGCAGAATACTCGTGCATCGTTAAGTGCAGTGTCATCACGGAGGCCTCTAGGCTGCTCAACCTTGGTCTGTAAGCCACACGCACCTTTCAGGCAAGACGTGCTCCATTCTCCAAATTTTCCCCAGTCCAGCCCAGGCCCCTGCAACTCCGTGCCATCTGAGCACCGGAAACGCACGTTGTTCACTGCAGTGTTGTCCCCAGGGGTTATGGGTGCTTCCACCCGAAGTGAGAAAGCCACTAGGAAGCCACCACTAGGACACCATAGAGGCTCACTCCATGCACCCCACCTATAAGGGAAGAGGAGAAGCGCTAGCTCTGTGAGCACTCCCTACTCACCTTGAGGCCAACCCAGAACGTGGGACTTTCCAAGGCAGGTCAGGGCAACCCCATTCGGTTGGATTTAACCACCTGACCTTCCGTGAGGTGCAGACAGGTGGACTTCCATCCACCTCCTCAAATCTAAACTGCCCCATAATTCAGGAGGAGTTTATCTGCTGGGAGAGGGCATGTAACAGGAGGGTAAGAGACATGCCCTGACCTTAAGACATGCTTGGCCCCTGCCCCTTCTCACTTTCCAGATTGGGACTCCACAACTTGAGTGTTGAGCTCAGAGTTACCACGTGTGCAGTGCAGCCGGATCCCATTCAGAGCTGTGTCATCACCGAGAATGCCTTGATGGGGCTCTACCTGGGTAGTAAGGATGAGTCAGGGGACTGCCATCCTTGGCTCCATGGCCCCATGCCATATCCACCCCCTCCAAACCCTAGAGCTCTCACCTTAAGTGAGAACCCGCTGGCAAAGTATCCATCAGGACACATCTCAGGCAGGGCCCAGTCGCCCCAGGGACCCCCGTTGGTCACTTCAATGACAGGGTAGCCGATCAGCCCATCTGCCAGCGCATATTTGCAGTACACGGCCCACAACAGCATCAGCAGCTTGGTTCCCACACTCAGTTCCATCCTGCAGAGTCTGTGAATCAGGCCTCTTAACTCAGGTTTATATCAGTCCAGTCCCTATCAGCCCCAACCTAGGCTCCAATTGCGGAAGGGCCTCCAGGATTAAGTGACATTCAAAACTAATCTGTTCCCGGAACTCCACAGACTTCAGGAAGGCAGAGTCCCAAAGCTAAGAAAGGAGGGGCAGTGACAGTGGGCAAGTTGAGATAATAACCACATACTAAAGGCTTACTATAGGACACAAATTGTAGCTAATGCTTTGCAGACATATTTTATTTAATCCTCACAATTTTAGGAAATCTGAATTACCTTTCCTATATGGCTGATGAAGGAACTAAGGCCCAGAAGTGACAAATGACTTGAAGTCAAAACCAGCAAGCAGGGAACCATTCCAACACTGGGAACAAAGACCAGGACTAGGCCTCAGAGACAGGATTGGCCAGGGGTAACCTAGGGAGCTCCAGGATGTGAGGAGCATAGAGTGAGCATATGGCAAGAATTCATGAACTGCTGGAATTGGGATGGATCTTCTTAGAGACTGGAGTGCTGACCCTTTGAGAATCCAGAGTACCAGATATACCCAACTCTAAGATGTTTATGGATAAGGCTCTAAGAACCCCCTAAGAACAAAACAGGCTGTTTCTTCCATCACTTCCTGTATCCAAGCTTTCTTTTTGGTACCGGGGATTAAACCCAGGTGCGCTTAACCACTGAGCCACATCCCCAGCCCTCTTTTCTTTTACATTTTATTTAGAGACAGGATCTCGCTGAGTTGCTTAGGGCCTTGCTAAGTTGCTCAGGCTGACCTTGAAATGGTGATCCTACAGCTTTGGCCTCCAGAGCTGCTGCACCATATGCCCCCACTATATCCTTACTTTCTTTCCACCGGGTGGACTTCTAATTTACAAAACAAAAAGCAAACAAAACCTGTCTAGATCTGTTAGAGGGCTCCACCCCTGATTTGCCTGCCCTTCATACACACAGCTTTGCTTATTCAATTCCTATTTGTTTAGTAATAATGAGTTTTGGCCCGTAAGCATGCAAGAAAAACAAGGCCCCTGTCTTCTTCAGAGCTCCCGTGGGGAAAACAAATAGAAAATTCTCCCTCAATGGATGTTTAGCTCTGGGAGAACACTTTTATATTCTGGAGGCCTAGTAGGGCCTGGCATGTGGAAGTAGTTAATGAAGATAATTTTTATAAATGACTGTGGAATCAATCTGGAGTTTAAAAAGTTAAACCAAAAGAATGTAAAAGGATAAAACCTTAAGTACATAATTGAAAGGTCACGTACCTAGATCATGACAAGGTTCTCTGGGAATAGAATGGAAAATTTAGAAGTGGGTGGTCGCTGGATCCCAAAGACCTCCCCTGCCCCACTGAACTTGGGAAGATTTGTAGGGCAATTGTGGTCAGCTTTCCCATTTACAACATTTTCACAAACATTATCATTTAATCCTCACATGAGGCTTGCAAGTACCTATTATTATCCTCAATTTATAGTGGAGGGAATCCAAGTCCAGAGTTAACTTACAGTCCACAGTAGGGGAACTGGTTCTTACCCTAGCCTCTCTCCCCAGTAATACCCAGGCTGCCTCTTACTATAAGCTGGCCCTACAGGAAAAGGAAATGTAGAGATGTGTCATTGTTGCCAATTCCCCGCAAATCTTCATTCAGTCCCTCACCCTAGGGTAGCTGCCCTTTGGGGCAAAGTATACAGGGGAAGGGGTCTTAAAAGGTTAATAATTAATTTAATAATAAATTAATTTGCATCTCAGGTCACTGCCCACATCTTTTCCCTCCTGGAGGCCTATGACGACACTGGCTAGGGGCTAGTGAGGGGGCAGTGGTCTCAGCAGCAGCCATGGCGGGTCTCACTGCCTCACCCTGCCCTGTGTTGCTGGTTCCACCAGGCAATTCCTCTATTTTTGTGTTAGTGCTTTTTCATCTCAGTGCTCAGATCCTTGGTGAATGGCTTCTTTCCTTACCTGCTCAGGGAAAAAGTCAGGAGTCTAGGCCCTTAGAACCCAAGCTCCCTTCTCTGGACCTCACCACTTAGTTTCCCCTCTTCCCAAGCATCCTGTCAGACTGCAGGCCCTGGCAAAGTCCTGCATTCCAGAAGGTCCACTGCCTTCCAAGTATGCTCAAGACAGGGTATGCTCAAGACCCCAGGGCTGAGTCTGAGAGTCCCAGATAGAACCCTGAACAGGGGGAAAGGGAGCTAGGCTAAGGGTCTGGTGAAGGATGAGTCCTCTTCCTCATCTCCTCTCTCCCATCATGAAGCTGAGAGTATAGCAGAAAAGGACCAAAGCTAGACCTTAGGGACAATCTGTTCAGAGCCTAATCCAGCTACTTGCTAAGTAGATCCAGCAAGAGCCGGACCCTCTGATGGTACCCAAAGAGAAGAGCTTTGCTGTCCGGGGCCTCAGGGAGTGCTGGGCTGCATGATAAGGCCCTTTATTGCCAGTCTGAAATTGGAAAGGGGATGTGGAATTGTCAGGATGGAAGGAACTAGTCAGGTGAGTGATCTCTCTCCTACAAGCCAATCCTCACCTCCTTGTTTCCCTCGCCTTCTCAAATCATCTCCCCCAACCCACCACCAAGCACACAGGTTCCTAACTCCCCTTGGCTCCACCTTCGCCTTCACCACGAGCAAGGTCTTCACCAAGGTGACAGCACTGGAGATTCGCGTGCATGGCCCAGATTCCACCCATTACACATCACTGACAACCATGGCGGTCTGGGAGAAGCAGGCAGGAATGCAGGAACTGCCAGATAGGGTCCCCAGAGACTCGGCTGGCCGGGTCTTTGGGCTCACGAATGTTATTGCTCTTGCCGCACCGCGCGCTGCGCTGGTCCCAGATCTGCCTCCACCGGGTGGCGACAAGGAAGCTGAGAGGCCCGGACGCCGGCACGCAATGCAGCGAAGCCTATTGCACATTTCCTGACCCCATATCACCCCTGGCTCATCCGTCACGCCACCCGCCTCGCTCTCCTCGCCTTCCCAACTCGCGGCCGCTTGCTGGAGCTGGCGTGCCCAGGAACCAGAGAGCGGACGCGCGGGATACAACGGACGGGGCCGCTGGCACCCTGGAGAATGTCTACAACCGCACCCAGGGACTGGTAGCCGGACACGGACTCCTCCCGTTGGCTTGAAGTCTGCAGTGGCGAGAGACTAGCCCAGAAGGGAGAACCCTGGGAAGGGATCAGCGCAGCCCAGGATCACGACCCCAATACTGGCGGGAGACACCTGAGCTGGCAGCTTGGCTGCCCCACTCCCACAGTGACGTCATCTGAGCCAAGTCCCGCCCCCAGCGGGGATGATTTTGAGCTTCTCGCTCTTTCTGTAGTCTCAGGAAAATGGGAGGAACCGTGAGGAATGAAGTATTCTTTGGCAGCAGTCGACATCGGGCATTTTGTGTAATGATGGCAGGCACTTAAGGGAAACAGAGTGTGGGAAGATGTGTCATTCCTGTTCCCGGCAGCCGAAAGGATCAAGCTTCTCCTGACCTATTTCAACCACTCCTGTGGCTTCAGTTGCCAACTCCATGCCACGTCTCCAGCCCAGACCTGTCTTCTGGGTTCTACTGACATACAGCAACTCTTTCCTGATGACATCTGCAAACAACATCTGCAAAACGGATCCCATCACCTTCCCCCTGAAAGTGTATCTTGTCCATTGTTCTGTCTCCTTGAATGAACAGCACACTCTCCCTTCCACGACCTAACTTTGTATCTATCCTATGTTTACCAAATGATTCTTTGGCCACTCCCAAAACAGTACTGAACATGAAAAAGCCTGCCCTTTTCGTTCGCAAATTCCCAAATTATACCTCCCATACACTTTCTTCTGGACTCCAGAATCCTATGTCTACAACTGTGAATTCTGCATTTTTGCTTAGATGTCAACTAGGCATAGCAAACCTGACATATTCAAACTAGTCATTGCTAGCTCAGTAAATACCTCCATTCTTCAGGACCTTAGACCATAAACCTTGTAATATGACTCTTCTGTTTCCCATTCATCACATCAACATCCAATATGTGAGTATCTAACAATTTCCCACTTTTTCCACCACTACTACACTACTATCCTTGTCCAGGACAACTTTATGGATAACTAATTTTATTGCAATACTTTTTTTTTTTTTTTTTATATTGGGGATTTAACCTAGGGCCACTTAACCACACCCCCAGCCCTTTTAATTTTTTGAGACAGGGTCTTGGGAAGTTGCTTAGAGCCTGGCTAAATTGCTGAGGCTGATCTCCAACTTGCAATCCTCCTGTCTCAGCCCCGCCCAAGTCACTGGAATTACAGGCATGTGCCATCAAACACAGCTGCAACAGCTTCTTAGTTGTCCCTCTGTCCATCCTTTCCCTCCCAATAATGTATTGTCAGTAAAGCAGAAAAAGTAACACTTTAAAATGCAGTTTATTTCCTGTCACTTTCCTGCTCAAAAAATAATTAATTAAATCACAAATGAGGCCAAGAGTTTAGTAATGTTGCTCAGTAGTACAGTGAATAGATACATAAGACCAGCATACACACACAAAAAGGGATTATAATGAAATACAAGAAAGGCCAGGGCGTAACTCAGTAGTAATACCATGTATGAGGCACTAGGTTTGATCTCCAGTACAGGAAAAAGAAAAAGACAGCACTTTCCTAAATTGATCTACAGGTGCAATGCAATCCCTAACAAAATTCCTATGTTTTTTTTTTTTTTTTCCAGAAATGAACAAGCTACTCCTAAAATTCATATGCAAATGCAAGGGATCCAGAATAGCCAAAACAATCTTGAAAAGGAAAACACAGTTGAAGGATTCACACTTCCAATTTCAGAAATTACTACATTCAGAAACTATATAGTGATGATGGTTATACAACATTTTGAATGTACCAAATGACACTGAACTTCACGCTTTAAAATTTTATGCTTTTTTTTTTTGTTGGGGGGGGGGGGGGGGGGGGAGATGTGGTCTATGTTGCCCAGGCTAATCTAGAACTCCAGAGCTCAAACAATCCTCCTTCCTCAGCCTCACAAGTAGCTGGGATACAGGTATGCACTGATATACTGGATAATTTTCTTTTAAATGTACTACAAAGCTACAGTAATCAGGACAGTATGATTCTGGCATGAGGATTAAATAATAGCTCATTGGAATAAAACCAGGAGAAGAGTATAGAAATAAATCCATATATTATTGGTAAATTGCTTTTTTTTTTTTTTTTAAGCTGGAGTCTGTGTTGCCTAAGCTAGTTTCTAATTGTGGACTCAAGGCGAGCCTCTTGCCTCAACCTCTCAAGTAACTGGGATTATAGGCAAATGCCACCACCTCTAGCTTTTGGTCAATTGATTCTTTTTTTCTTTTAGGTGATGCTGAGGATTGAATCCAGGACCCTGCACAGGCTAGGCAAGCGCTCTACAAACTGAGATATATTCCCAGTCCAGACCCATTGATTTTTAAAAAATATTTTTATTAGTTATTGATGCACCTTTATTTATTTATTTGCTCATGTGTGGTGCTGAGAATCGTACCCAGTGCCTCACAAATGCTAGGCAAGCACTATACCACTGAGCCATAACCCCAGCTCCCTGGTCCATTAATTTTTGACAAGGATGCCAAAAACATTCAAGGGGGAAGGAATAACCTTTTTGACAAATAGGGCTGGAACAACTGGGTAACTACATGCAAAAGAATGAATTTAAGCCGGTGTGGTGGGCATGCCTGTAATCCCAGTGGCTTGGGAAGCTGAGGCAGGAGGATTGCAAGTTGCCAGCCTCAGCAATTTAGCAAGGCCCTCAGCAACTTAGAACCTTTCTCAAAATAAAAAATAAAAAGGGCCAGAAATGTGGCTCAGTGGTTAAGCACCCCTGGGTTCATTCCATAGTACCAAAAAAGAAGGAGGAGGAAGAGGAAGAGGAATAAATGAATTTAGACTTCACATCATATACAAAAAATGACTTGAAATGGATCACAGATCTAAGAATGTAAGAGTAAGCACTACAGAACTCTTCAAAGAAAACACAGGTGCCAGGCACAGTGGCACATCCTGTAATCCCACTGACTCCAGAGACTGAGGCAGAAGGATCCCAAGTTGGAGGTTAGCCTGAACAATTTAGGAAGAATCTGTAAAAAATTTTAAAGGGTTGGGAATGTAACTCAGTGGTACAGAGCTTGCCTAGCAAATATGAAGCCCTGGGTTTGATTCACAGAAACACACACACACACACACACACACACACACACACACATCAAAACTTTCCTTCTTCAAAGAATACAAATGAATTAAGTATAAAGACAATCCAAGGCTGGGGCTATGGTTCAATGGTAGAGCACTTGCCTAGCATGTGTGAGGCACTGGGTTCAATCCTCAGCACCACATATAAATAAATAAAGGTCTATCAACAACCAATAAATTTTTTTTTAAAAAAACAAGCCAATGGGAGAAAAATATTTGGAAATCATATACGGGATGTTTCTAATACCAAGAATAATATAAAAAGCTCAGCGGCTTGGGAGGCTGAGACAGCAGAATCCCGAGTTCAAAGCCAGTCTCAGCAATGCCAAGGAGCTAAGCAACTCAGTGAGACCCTGCCTCGAATAAAATACAAAATAGGGCTGGAGATGTGGCTCAGTGGTCGAGTACCCCTGAGTTCAATCCCCAGTACCAAAAAAAAAAAAAAAGTCAGCGCAGAACAACACAACAGGACCCTGTCTCAAAAGTAAATAAATAAATATTTAATCCCATAACCCAACAATAAAAAAAAATCCCAATTTAAAAATGAGAACTTAACTAAACATTGCTCCAAAGAAGATACACAAATGGCCAATTAGCACATGGAAATATGCTCAACATCACTAATTATTAGAGAAATGCAAAAAAAAAAAAAAAAAAAAAAAAAACGCAAGAAGATAACACATAACCCCAGGGGGAGGCCCACAAAAAAAAAAAAAAAAAAAAGATACACAATACCAAGTGTTGGTCGGTATGCACAAAACTTGGAATCCTCACACATGGCTGGTGCGAATATAAAAAATGGTGCAGTCGCTACGGAAAACAATGGTTAGTTCCTCAAAATGTTAAACAGAGTTACCATAAGACCCAGTAATTCAACCGCTGCTAGGTTTACAGCCAAGAAAAATGAAAACACCCCACGATTATTCCAACTCAGATCTCCAGGCTCCAATCAGACAGATCAGTACAGCCCAGGCCAGTACTGAACGCAGGACCTTGCATATGCAAAAGTGCTCTACCTCCGAGCAACATCCCCTGCTTTCCGGACTCCCCTGTACTAAGCACTGATCCCAGGAATGATCTACCACTGAGTTACATCCACCAAGACTTTTTTATTTTATGTTGAAACAGGATCTCACTAAATTGCCAAGGCTAGTTTCAAACTTGCGATCCTCCGTCGTTGGGGTAATAGGCGTGCGCCACCACAGCAAGGCAGGACTTTCTCTTTTCGCTGTCTCTCTGCCCCGCTCTCTTTAGTTTGTTGCCTGACACACTGCCATCAAGTGCTCACTGTCGCAAAATAACCTACCCTCTACTTTCATTTCCCTTCTGCCGTCAACCGCTGCATGATTTTTCTCCCAGAAGGCCTCAAAGAGAGTGACAGAGCGCTTTACGACAGTTGCTTTGTGGCAGCACAGGAGGAGGAAGATGGCGGCCACCTTAGTTGCTGCTCGAGGAGAGGGTCCCGCACCCTCCTGGGGGCGGGAGGCTGTCGCCCCAGACTGGGAAAACCGGGAAGTCTCCACAGGGGTGAGGAAGGAGTCAGGATTCAGAAAATGTGCACAACTGGGGAGGATAAAGCCCAAGTGGGGTTGAGAAGGGAGGTGGACTGTGTTATGCTCACGGCGGAGGGAGAGGTATTCTGAGGATACTGGAGTGGTGTGGTACGTTGGTGATGGGGAGTAAAGGTGGGTTGAAGCGTGAAATTCTATCTTTCAGGGCAAATGAAACCTCTGAGCTTGAGGGTTGGAATTCTGGTATTTTGAGGAGTGTAGAGGCCCCCACAGGATTGGAAAATGGGTCCGCGGCGCACGAGTTTTGTATTATGGGATCTGGGGAGGGAATTGTTGAGGTTTATGTATGTTGGGGAATGTGGAAAAGTTTAGACTCACCCTTCTCTCCCTTTTCTCAGACCACTATCATGGCTGTGCAATTTGACGGGGGTGTGGTTCTGGGAGCAGACTCCAGAACAACCACTGGGTGAGCTCAGGACAGATTTATGAAAGATTTTCCCATCTTTCCCTTTCTTGCCTGCCGGACCATCCTGTTTTCCCTCCTTTCGGTGCTGGGGAATTGAACCTGTGGCCAGCCAAGCAAGTGCTTTATCACTGAGCCACGCATCCCTAGCCCTGCCAGCCCATCCTTAATCCTCCAGACTAATGTGGGCAGGGAAATTTCTCGTCTACCTGGAGAGAAAGATTTATCCCAGCTTGTATTTCTATAGTTTCATTCATCCTTATAAAAGTCTGTTTTCCATCTAGCCTACTTCCATTTGTATGAGAACCAATAAGCAATACTGGTTTCCTATCCCTGAAAACACACACACCCCAGGTACCCCCCATTCCCCTGTGGATAGTGATGGGATGGAGGTGGGAGGCAGGTGGGGTCTTTCCCTCACTATTCTGCCATCCTGCAGGTCCTATATCGCCAATCGAGTGACTGACAAGCTGACTCCTATTCATGACCATATTTTCTGCTGCCGTTCAGGCTCTGCAGCTGACACCCAGGCTGTAGCAGATGCTGTCACTTATCAGCTTGGATTCCACAGGTGCTTGTGGGCAGGGAAGGAGCAAGTATGGGAAGGGAACTGGGACCTGAGGCACTAAGTGGGCTCACTGTCAGGACCTAAGACTGCTTTCTTTGTAACCCCCACCTAACCCTCCAGCATTGAACTGAATGAGCCTCCATTGGTGCACACAGCAGCCAGCCTCTTTAAGGAGATGTGTTACCGATACCGGGAAGATCTGATGGCGGGAATTATCATTGCTGGCTGGGATCCTCAAGAAGGAGGACAGGTGGGATAATCTACTCCAGCACTGAAGCCTTGCCTTAGATCCTTTCTCTACTCTGACCATTTTCTGTTTCTCATTTCAGTTTCTACCTCAGTTACCATTAACTCTCTCCAGACTGATCCCACAATGGGAAGGTGGATGTACATGTGCTGGGAGAAGGGTATACACTGTGACTGTTCTCCTTCGTCTGGCAGGTATACTCAGTTCCCATGGGAGGTATGATGGTAAGGCAGTCCTTTGCCATTGGAGGCTCTGGGAGTTCATATATCTATGGCTATGTTGATGCTACCTACCGTGAAGGCATGACTAAGGAAGAGTGTCTGCAGTTCACTGCCAATGGTGAGAACTTGGGTTTCTGGGCCTGTGGTCGTCAACCCTCCCTACCCAAGCCAGGCCAACATTTCTCATTTATTACAGTACTCCCAGCAACTAACTCCAAATCCAACTTCCTCCTTTTATCCACAGCTCTTGCTTTGGCTATGGAACGGGATGGCTCCAGTGGAGGGGTGATCCGCCTGGCAGCCATTGAAGAATCGGGGGTAGAGCGGCAGGTACTTTTGGGAGACCAGATACCCAAATTCACCATTGCTACTTTACCACCTCCCTAAGTCTGCGATTCTAGGATGTAATAATATTCACCCCGTACCGATAAGAATTTAATAAACAGTTTGTCAAAGAGAGTCTTTGTAATTTGAGGTTCCTTTCTTAACCTCAAGCCTGAACTTGTCTGGCCCACTAGTAGTTTGTGCAAACCACTGCACCAAACTCAAGAGGAGTTACACAGGAGATTGAGGGAGTTTATGAATGTTCCACCACTCTTCACTAAGCTTTTGCATGTGTGGTTTTCTTTCTTCCTCTTTCCCTTCTCCACCCCTTCCCCCTTCTTTTCTCTGCTCTGTC